GGGCTTTGGAGCGAATATAATTAATAGCCTTCATCACCAGTTTCATAACGTGATCATATTTCAGATGTTGGCACAGAAAACTTGTTGGTGAATAATACAGTGGAGTTTTATAGCTTTGCCTCCTTCTTCGCTGACTTTGTTACAGACTAGGGTTGATAATCCACTTCGCTCGCTAGCCATGGCAGGTGCACCATCCGTAATAATCCCAGTGACTTTATTCCACGGTAGTTTCATGTCATCTACGGTGGAACAAACAGAAACAAATCTGTTCCTCTTGTTTGGTCCTTAAGGCTCTGGAGGTCAAATAGCTCTTCACTCACGTTCATGTCATTGTCCACGCCTCTCAAAAAAATCAGTGACTGAGCGGTGTCAGATGCATCCTTGCTTTCGTCGCTGGCTAACGAAAAAAAGTCAAACTCCACTCCTTTTGCTTCTAACTATCTCTTAATATCAGATGAAACGTCTTCAATTCTCTGTACCACAGTGTTACGAGCCAGGCAAACATTGGCAAACTCTTGCTTCTTCTCAGGACAAATTTTCTCCACCATTTTTATCACGCAGTCTTTAATAAATTCACCCTCACTAAAAGGTTTGCAGTGCTTGGAATCAGCGCTGCCACCACATAGCTCGCCTTTGTGGCATTTTTATTTGACTCAAGAGCTCTTGTGAAAAAGCACTGCTGTGCCGTTAAAGCAGCTTCCAGTTCCTTCAATTTTTCACCGCGTTCGTTCCCAGTTAGCTTGTTCTAATTAGCATGTTTCGTCTGGTGGTGCCTCTTGATATTGAATTCCTTGAAAACAGCCACAGTCTCTTGGCAAATTAGGCAGACACAGTTGTTTTGTATTTCAGTGAAAAAATACTCCAATTTCTACTTGTCCTGGAAGCAGCGGCCCTCGCTGTCAACTTTCCTTTTTTTAGTTACAGTCGCCATTTTAGAAATGGGCACCCAAGCCTTGTGTCACAAGGGTCACACCGCGAGAGTGCTGACTCAGGTCTACTGCCATCTTCTGGTGAAATATAACCACCAGCCTTGAAGGAGCAGGAGGCAGCAGGGGACAGCTGCGGGAACCGCCGTGCAGTGGAGGGAAAAACGCTGGCCGGCAGGGATGAGTGACAGGCTGAGCTGGCGGGGAGAAGAGGCTGCGGGCCGCTCGAAATTTGAAAACAGGCCGCAATTGGCCCCTGGGCCAGACTATGGACATGCTTGATGTTGAGGGATCCTTATTAAATATCTTTCTTCAACAAGATAAGAATATAGGAAACCTTTTTTTCTTTTAGAATATGGTCATAATTTGGAATAATTTGGAATATAGGGATATATTTATCCCACCGATTTCACCATTATATCCAAGTACAGAATTAGAAAGTTTTCCAGTGAATCTGAGGAGTAGTTAAAAGGAAGCACTGAAGAGTAAACATGTTATTAGGCTGAAAGATTGGCTAGAGAAAATGAAAAGAAATGATACAAGCAACACTGGAACAGGGTAAAGTAAATTGTTATACTACAATTAGATTATTGGACTAAAATTGGTTGAAGAAAAATGGTAAATGCAGGGAATATACTATATTTGAAGACATAATTTTACAGAAAGGAGAACAAGATAATATGTGAATGAAAGGAATGATAAGTAAAATTTACAATTTATTAGTAGAAGAGGAGGATTGGTATGATCCTCTTAAGAGTCTTGGGAAATAAAATTTTAAAAAATTTAGTGCTGAAGAATGGAATAACATGTGGGGCAAGAGAAATTTAAAATGTATATCAATAAGAATTAGAGAGATTTTTTATATACTGGTTTGGAAATGGAACTTAACTCTGGTTAAATTGAATTACATGAATAGTAGTATTCCAATGTTTGTTGAAGATGCAACCGGGAAGTGGTTCCAAATGAGGTGGAAGTGTAAATGTATGAGTTTTGGGAAAGGATCTTTAAAGAAATTGGTAAAATATTGAATTTAAATATTGAAGTTGCTCCTGTCATTATTTAGAGAACAGATGGGACAAATTCTAAAGAACTGATGATAAACTTTTTAACAGCAGTAAGATTAATAATAACAAGGAATTGGAAAATAAAAGGTGAATATCAGATAGCTGACCGGTACAAACAGACCTCCTCTCCAAAACTGACCTTTTCTTTATCCATGGCTATGGAGTAAGATCACTACCTTCTTCTTTGCCAAAAGTCTGGGATCTAACCAGTGTGTGGATTAGAGTTCCATAGTTGAGTAAAACGTACTGTGTACTCTTTAGCATTTATTCCTATTTTTCAATTTGTACCTGTCGTTTTTGTTTTGCCCATCAGAAAACATCTCTGCCCTTTCTATAAAGACAGAAGAATCTTCACAACAAACCTTAAATTCAATCTGAAGTTTAAGTATTTTTAATAGATTCAAGGATCTGATTCTTTTGTACTTTTGCAAAGTCCTAGAGGACACATGACATAAGCTTGTTGTTAGAAGAGCTTTCTTGAACCATTCAGATGATAAATTACCTATTTGTGTCCTTCCATATCACATCCATGGTGGGAAAGTGCCCAATTCCACTTTGATATCCCTTTGTCTCACCTATAAATCGCAACACCTAGCCTCATCTCTGCACTTCTCAGCTCATTCTACTAAAGCAACCATCACATATGTAACATCAGGCCATCCATATTGGAAGTCTGTCACAAAGGCCTCAGCAAGCACTTTCATAGGACACTACAAAACAGACACTTTCACCTTGGTTGAGTTGGCCTCCTGGAGAACTGTGTTCTAGCATGCACGCATGTATGTGCATGCTCACATTTCATGAGGGCAGCCACCTAGCCACTTTCAAGGGTATTGCTCAACAATAACACATCTTGCAGTTGGATGCCTCTTACCTGTGCCAACAGGAGAACAGGACATTGGTATTCCCCATGGTATCACCTCTTTGTACTTTCAGTGCTGTGCCCTCACGATAGCTGTATACTGTCAGTACACCCTAACCAACGAATATGCCCCACTTTTTGGTTTACTTCCTATAGTCCTAGATACTGCCTTCTCGTGTGAAAAGTCCATAAGACACCTGCTAGAAATAAGGCAATGAAACAGAAGTGAGAAACAGAGGATGGTGGAGAAAAATCAAGTTGGCTACCTTCCAGACAGTATTTATTTATTTATTTATTTAAAAATTTCTATGCTGCCTCATTCACTGAAGCCTCAGGGCGGCTTACAAAACATCAGTTAAAATATAAAACACTAAAAATATAAAACACATTAACATTATAAAATAAGTCACCCTGGCCAAAGAATTAAGCAAATAATATTAGCAATTAAAATGACGTTTGAATAAAAAGGTCTTCACCAGGCGCTGAAAAACAAATAACGGCGCCAGGCAGACCACTCTGGGGAGTGCATTCCATAGATTGGGCGCCACCGCTGAGAAAGCCCTCCTCCGAGTACCTACCCTCCTAATTTCCTTCACGGAGGGTTCCCGGAGAAGGGCCTCTCCCGCAGATCTCAGGGGGCGGGCGGGCATATATGGACGTAAGCGCTCCTTCAGGTAACCAGGACCCAAGCCCTAAACGGCTTGGG